ACTTCAATAAAAAATAGACATACTTGATGGTATTCAAGTAAACACAGTTGGTTGTGTCTTAAGTGAACATAAGAAATAAGAAATATGGATCAATATATTGGATATATTGTCTAGTGTTAGGGTTAAAGAATATATTGTTTATAAGTTGTTCAAGGAGGGGAAAGCACTTCTCTTTCTCTTGTGTATCTAACTCCAGTATTGCTAAATGTAATAGCACTATCTCTTGCACTTCAAATGATTGCTTGTAAATATTGTTTATATATTTGTATTTTCAAATTATAAATTACTTTTATTTTAATTAAATACATTTCTCATACCAGTATTTTGTATTTTAAATTAAATACATTAGATAAGTAACAAAATACTTTTTGATGTATTTGTGCCCATTGTAGATCCACCAATGTGTTGGGTTTTCCTCAATATGATGTTAAGTTAAGTGGCAGATCAGTGGGTTTGCTGCAGTTGAATATCTACGTCCTCAGTCCCAGACGAAACCTAGGTGGAGAATGCAAGATAATTTAATTATAATATATGTGGTTATAATTGTTATAATTAAAAATTAATATAATTATATCATTAATATATATAAAAATATAAATATAATTAATAATTGTTAATTGGTTATAATTGTTAATTATTTTAATATAATAATTAGAATGTGGTTAACTTATACACCTAACTCATATTTAAACACTGCCTCCATGCTATGTACACATGCTGTGTGCACCTATCCATCCTTACAAGTACAATTTTGGCTATATTAGCCCATTTGTGTCCCTGCTCTTGAAAAATTAATGTTTATTGTCCCCCACTACTGTTAGATGAAATTTACACCCATGTGCTCAAGTAATTGTGTTAAATTTTAACGCTTTGAATTACCGTATTGGCCCGAATATAAGACGATCCTGATTATAAGACGACCCCCCTTTTTCCAGATGTACCTTTTGGAAAAAGGCTTTTTAAAAACCAAATCTTGATTTTTCTCAGTAAAACACATTTTGTCTTCAATTATTTTCATATTGCATATTTTTCCTCCTGGGTTACGTACGTATATGTGGGGCGGAGCTATCAAAATAGGGGCAAGACCCTTTTGGGGTAGGGGCGTGTTTGTTTTGGTGATTTCAAATATCAACACTGGCTACCAGAAATCGCTTACTCTGCCTTTAACTACACAATAAAAACATATGTCTGAACACCTTACCTTTGGGTACACCTCTTTCTCAAGGGTCTAAAGACAAAAGAAAGATATGGCTGCGATACAGGAGAAGCTCTCTTTACACTTATCAGTTGATATTCTCAATAAAAGCCTTCTGGGAAGTCGTGGCCAAAGTTTGCGAGTTTGAGTCTCAGGTCCGGCAGGAATTGTAGGTGGGGGGAATGAATGTACAGCACTCTCTTCCACCTTCAATACCACGACTGAGGTGCCCTTGAGCAAGGCACCGAACCCCCAACTGCTCCCCGGGCGCCGCAGCATAAATGGCTGCCCACTGCTCCGGGTGTGTGTTCATGGTGTGAGTGTGTTCTCTGCTGTGTGTGTGCACTTAGGATGGGTTAAATGCAGAGCACTAATTCCTAGTATGGGTAACCATACTTGGCCACATGTCACGTCACTCACTTTAAAGATGTCACGGAATGCTCACACAAAAGATCCAGTCACAGTTTTATTTCTCAAAAAAAATAAAAATCCACATGAGTAAAAACAGGAAACAAAGACAGCAACAGGAATAGAATGCAATACTGACGCAACTAAAGACAAAATGAACAAGGTATATATATAGGGTGAGGCTAATGAGTCAATGATAAACAGCTGGCAGTAATGAACTAATAATGAGTTTTAGTTATGGGAAACGCAGTCCAGAACACACAAACAATGACACAAAAAGAGTGACCTCTGGTGGCTAAGCTGGGCACTCCAACAGCTGGCTGTGACATTACATTACTATCTAGAATAGGCTCTGAGGACTCACAGACTGGCGCGGAGTCTGTAGTGGACTCTGACTGCTCCTGGACCGGAGCGGGCTCTGAGGTGGATTCTAACCGCTCCACGACTAGAGCGGTTTCTGTGGCGATCTGAGACCAGATTTGACTTTACCGACCTCTTCCTTCTCGCCCTCCTCTTCTCGGTAGCCGTAGGAGGGTGGCCGTAGCCCAAGACTGGTGGCAAAATCCCTACAAAAGGGTTCTTGTTCACCTGGTTTAACCCACTGAACTCGCTGAACAAGATACCAGGTGAAGTCCCAAAAATTCAAGGTCTCGAGTCCCTTCATCTCCCAATGGGACAAGGGTTTGTCAAGGCATCCATTAAAGAAATCCTGAAGTGCCCCGTCATTGAATCCCAGTCCCACCGAGTAAGTCCAGAAGAGTTGGGCAAAGGCCCCTACATCCCGGCCTCTTGTCGCAACTCCGTGAGAGCTTTAAATCGAGCCACTCTCTCCTGCCATGTGGCAGGTCGGGTAATCCGAAAACTCATGGTACCAGAAGAGGGGAAGAAAAAAAAAAAACTGCTGGATCGTGAAGTGGCATCAGTATTCTGTCACGGAATGCTCACACAAAAGATCCATTCGCAGTTTTATTCTCAGAGTCAATAAAAAAAACAAAACATTGTTTTTTTTATTGCAATGTTTTTTTATAAACAGCTGGCAGTAATGAACTAATAATGAGTTTTAGTTATGGAAAACACAGTCCAGAACACACAAACAATGACACAAAAAGAGTGCCCTCTGGTGGCTAAGCTGGGCACTCCAACAACTGGCTGTGACAAAAGACCTGAAATTTTACTTTCACTTTAGGGACAAGTATTTTTATGTCACATCTAGGGACAAACACAAATTCTGATCAAGCCATAATTTAGGGACTTTGGTAATACACAAACTCTAGTTAAGTTATCATTTTAGGACTTTGTGGTTGTGCTACAAATGAGTCATCCTAACAAAAAACAGAAGTAGAATTCAGTGGTGTTCCGTCCATATAAGCTGCGAATGCTCCGCATACCCAGGCCATTTGAGAGAATAAGTTCACGGGATAATTCATATAAACATGATTATAAGTTGATCCTTTGTCATTTGAAATGTAACCTAAAGCAAGAGTTAGGAATAAGTACATAAAATTATTTATTTGCCAAACGGCAGTAATTTTCTTTAAATCTACCAGCTTTAAATGCTTCTGGGTGAGCGGATTCTCCGCAGCTTTCTCGTCTCTGCTCTATTGCTATGACTCTTCTACGGTGGACCAGTAGTGCACAACACAACGCAATTAAAAAAGCGAACATAAGCTCACAACACAACGACATTAAGCCACAACACAACGACATTAAGCTCACAACACAACGACATTAGGCTCACAACTGCCAGATCTCGATTGCCGAAAATCACATTGTGTTTGATGCAAAAACAACTCGACTAAATCAAAAGAAAAAAAACAAACAAAAAAAAAACACTGTAACTGTATATTTTTATTTTCTCAAAAACACTGAAAAAAGCATACATACCCCCACTTTATCAGTATTTAGTATCCTATATGTTTATATGCTGAACTTTATTCTTGAACAGATGAAGCAGTATATAAAAAGTGTTTGTTGCTCATAAAAACGTTTCTGTGTATTTGACAAATATTGCATTTAATTCCCTTTATCTGTGATAACACTATGCAAACACGTGAGAGCGTCACTACCGGGAGCAGAAAGTGTCCGACTTGACGTCTCCACTTTTAAAGGGGTCATATGATGCTGCTAAAAATAACATTATTTTGTGTATTTGGTGTAATGAAATGTTTATGCGGTTTAAAGTAAAAAATAAAAAAAAAACACATTATTTTCCACATACTGTACATTATTGTTTCTCCTCTATGCCCCGCCTTTTTGAAACGCATCGATTTTTACAAAGCTCATCGGTCTGAAAAGCGAGGTGTGCTGTGATTGGCCAGTTATCCAGTGCGTTGTGATTGGCCGAATACCTCAAGCGTGAAACGGAAATGTTACGCCCCTCACCATACTGTCGATGCTGTGTCCGGCCGGAGCGACGAGACATAAACATTAAAACCCATTACAAACGAGGCATTTGTTGCATCCAGTGGGGACATAATTACTGATTATAATGACTTATACTGTCTTTTTACGCGTTGCGTTGCATTGCGCCTGTGCTGCACACATCTGGATATTTGGGTTAAACTGTTCTGGAACAGTGTTGTAAACAACTTACAACTTACAACTTAACCACTGATTTGTAGTCCTGTCCTCTTTTGGAAGACCAAACAAAGTAGTTTCGCTTTCACAACGAAAAACACGGCGGCCGAGCGCGAGCGGAAGCCGCGGCTTAGCATGAGCTGAGGATGGGCTAGAGTGAGCTGAGGCTGGGCTAGAGTGAGCAGAGGCGGCGGGGTTGAGAACGGGAGGATCTTTGCAACTTTACAGATCTTCTTTACGCACCAAGAGCTTGTAACACTCCAAAGAGAAAGGAAAAATTGAAATCGCATCATATGACCCCTTTAATTCCGCCCCGACTGCAAGCGACTACTCTCGCCAGCCGGTGGCAGGCTAGTATAGCTAATCTGGAACAGTCAGTCCTCCCTCCTTCTTTAAATTTACATTCACTCCTCCCTCACTGAAAAAAAAGATTCCTTGTCTGAACAACCCTTACTTACAAAAGTAAACAAACACAAAAAACGTAGTATTCATAACGTTTCAATGTCTACTTAACATATATAGTGTGTGTAATGGAAAAATATAAGTTACAAGGTGAACTTAAATGTATGTGCAAGTAAAGTGAAAAAACAAATCACGTCAACTACTATTACAATTACATAAAAATTGAGTAAATCTAGCATAAAACTTTTAAGTATTTGACTGTGAGCCACGTGATATGCAAATACTCTTTCCAGCCGGAGCCATTTTGTGAAGCGCGTGTGAAGACGTTGAGAAGGGGTAAGTTTAACTTTTTGTAAACTAAGTATAATATTACATTTAGGCGTTTTACCATCAATGAACGCTTGTTTTTTGTGTGTTAGTGGCTGAAGATATTTTCTGAAACGCAACATAGACGCTGAAAACAGGTAAGCTTTATTTTGTCTTTTTAAACGTATAACGTTACTCGTTTATTGCGTTTATGGTCAAAAAAGGAACAGATTTGGTAAAGGAATTTTGTGAGTCAAGTCCATTATGCAAGTCACTTGGATTGGATGGTCCCTTTAGATCCTCATATAAGAGGAAAGAGTATTATAAAGAGAACTTCCAAATTGTGAAAGCTGTTGAATATGTTGTTGATGCAAAGGAAAAACGGAGTTTTCAGTATGTGCCCATTTCTCAAATTGTTGTCCCACTTAATGAATGGCATGGACATTTCTCAAATGGCACTTGAAAGATCTCTAAACAGGATGTCCCAACATTTAGATCTTTTCACGATGGGCTATATTTTCAGCAAAACGCTTTTCTTTCCAAAGGAGAAGAGAAAATTTCACTGATTTTATACATTGACGAATTTGAGATTTGCAATCCACTCGGAACATTCCGGAAAAAAACATAAAATTACAGCAGTGTATTGGGTGCTAGGAAATGTACCATCGGTCCTTCGTTCTGAGTTGTCTTCCATTTATTTGGCAGTTCTGTGCAAAACAGAAGATGTAAAACAGCATGGATATTCCATGTGCTTGAACCCCTTTTGAAGGATCTAGGAGTATTGGAGAGAGAAGGATTTTTTTATTTCTAGCTTCGGAAAGAATGTCAGAGGAACAGTGATGTGTGTTGTTGCTGACAATTTAGCAGCCCATTCACTTGGTGGGTTTGTTGAAAATTTTTCTGTCCCATATCCAGGGCTCTACGCTTTCTTTTCAATTTAGGAGCACGTTCAAAATTTTAGGAGCACCTTCTAAACAATTATCCAAAATTTTATCAAAAAGTAGCCTTCCCATTTCGAGGTGATATTTGACTCCTCTAACTTTATTAAAAGTATGTCATCTTTTGTCAAATTCTTAAATATTTTTTATTTTATAAGATTTTTAAACATTGTAATTAAAATGACAGAATAGGAACAAGTAGAATAAGAAATATAAAAGTTACCAATCAAATTAAATCAGTATTAACACAATTAATTTGTAGAGGTGGCACAGAAGAACACAAAAGTGGCTTGGTGTACTTTCAGACATTTAATGAGGCTCAGAAGTGGAATGAGTGCAATTAAATCCATAAATTCATGATGATATTAATGTTTTAAATATA